TAAAAGAAGTATCCTGAAAAAAGTCCTATTCCGCAACTCTCCATTCTTCTGAAACTGTTCTTCCGCAACTATTTGGTACTCTTCCGCAACTACTCTTCAGAAACTATTCTTCAGAAACTATTTCGCGATCTTCAGAAACTTTATTTGTGCGCTTTAGAAAGTATTCTTCAGATTTTTTACAATATGTAGCCAAATTGCATGAAGGAGCACTGGGTGGGTGGGGGTGGAAGGTGGGGGGTGGGTGGGTGGATGGGTTATTGACGTACCTTGTGACGGCTACGGTATATACATGTTTGTTTTGCGATCTGCAGAAAGATTTCCGTGCAGGTTTGATGTTGCTCTTCGACTCTTTGTAGTTTCCGAACTTTCTGATGAACACCGTAGAGTTTCCGAAGATTAGTTTCCGAAGAAAACCGTAAAGTTTCCGAAGATCATTCTGTGCTTGAACCCATTTGATACATTGTTTAGTTATTTCATACTTGCTCGCATGTTAATGTTGCAAGCATTGTTGGACTCATTTCTCGACCGCATTGTACACGTTCAAGGGAGTCGACAAATGGAGTGATTATGCACAATAAAACTTTTGAATGTGTATAACGAGACAATACTTAGAGATGAGCGCAGCATGAAGTGGATGAAAAATTTCTAGCGAAGTGTCTATATAGCAACTAGTAACTCTATTTTGGACTCTCTTTAGACATTGTTGGCATTGTTGAATCTTTTTTTGATCCCCTTGAACTTGTCAATTTTTCAGGGAGTCCAAATTATACTAGTTTTGGTTGCATTTAGTGAAATAAACTTTGCACTCGCAACCAGCTGACGTTTATGCCACCGTTATTAGCAATAAATATACAATTGCAACTGATGCAAAGGATGCATTCATGAAAGATATATTTGGACATAGACTACTGAGAGGAGTGGTACAGACCTGACTTGTTCCATACTTTGCACAAAGGAGTAATGGCTGAGTTTGCTGGCAGCGGACTTGTTTCTCACAAGAAACTGAATGCTCTTTTGTTTTTCTTCGTCGTTCGAACCCAAATTTGTAATATTAACACATATCACAAATCTAATCTTTTCACCCCAAAACATCTGTACATGTGCTCTGATTTGTACTTAGCTGCAGGTTGTCCTTTTGGACCATGGCTTTGATGGGCACAGCCGGGATGTTCCGAAACGTCTTCACTCACTTTATTTGGAGATGAAGGTTTGGTGCCAGAAGAATAAAAAGATTCCGTTGCATATGAGTGACCTCACACGAACGATCCTGCTCATCAGTATCCAATCAGTACATTTGTTCATCAGTGTCACTCCATGCATGGCCGCTGAGTTGTACTAGCGCCGCACCTCCAATGGGCAAGCTTCGAGACATTAAGGCCACATTCAAGGAAGAGAAGAACTTGGGCATGGTGGAGCCTTTCGCCCTGATGAAGCGGCGGCATTTTGCCAGCGCAAGGTGGATGACCTCTGCCCAGGCCCTATGGCAGCCATCGATGAGGGTGACAAATGTTCGAACCATCTATGACAGTTCCTGGGGAGGTGCCAACAGCTGGACGAGAAGCAGGCAAGGCTAAATCCAGGGCCGGGAAGGCCCGTGACAAGCCGACGAGGTCCCAAATGCACCGCAACAAGCTCAAGGAGCGCATCCGGGAGCCACTCCTCGGTTTCCATCCGCGCCGCTTGTGCCCCCCGCGGCGCGTTCGCAGTACCGCACCTGGCAGGCCCACCCGGCCTATGTTGCTGCCCTTTGGACATCTCGGCAATGGGGCTTCTTGAGTGCGACTTCTCCACCGAGTCTCACGTCGCCAGCGCAGCCACTTACGATGAGGCAGATGGTTCTTGTGCCCACAGAGAGCATGACCGCTGACTCTCTCACAATGTCAATGCAGTCTCTGCCCATGTTTGCGCTCCTATCCACCGGCCTGGTGAAGTTCAAGAACGAAGAGAAGCATCCAGTCTGGTGAGAAACCTGCCAAGCTTGGACCAGATCTCCGAGGATGACCTGCTGATGACTGACGCAGATCATCGAAGCTTGCGACGATGGCAAGCAGTGTTCTTGCTTTGACGATGCTTGCAAAAAAGAACACATGCTGAATCATCGCACGTCGCACAGCCCTCCCGTCATCCCCTGAACCATTCGCACCGACGTCTGGTTGGGAGCCGATTTAGTACCTCATGGTCTGTGATGAGGCTTGGACATGAGCCCCTTGGGTGACTACGATGGTCTCATCGAAACCGCTCTATAGATCACCCAGCCGATGGGAGCCATTGACAGTCTCAACGAAAGCTCAAAGGTAGCATGTTTCATTGTTTATCTTGGAAGCTGTCACAGCTCAGAGTGGACGTGGTAAGCCTTCAACAGGATTACGGCCTGTCCGCCGAGCAGGCAGCGTAATTTATCCGACAATGGAAAAGTGAGCCGGTATCAATGATGTCTCAAACAAATGCCACTACTATGTGCCATGGACAAGGATGCCTTGAAGGACCTCAATGGAGCCACAAACCACTGGGAACGAAAATCCCCTGTGTTCGTAAGGCTATGCACAATGCGTACCATCGATGGGGAGGCAGTATAACTTCCCACATCGTCGACACTCGATCCCCTTCGGCCTTTGTTTGACAGAGTGTCCCTCTCACAACTAATTGGGCGCTCCCGTTTTTGTAAACAAGGCGCAGCCTTAAGTTTTATGTTGACGGCTGGGTTGTGCCTGATTTTTGCGATCATAAAGCATGTCCCTTTTAGTTTTAATCGACTGTTAAGTGTACGTATGTATAGGTCCTGTTCGTGCTTGAAGCATGTCCACCGGGGTGTATACAGGAAGGTCTTTACCAAACTTAATCACTTGAAATCAGACGCTTCAAGACCTCATGACCTGGCTTGGTGTTGGGACACCTGTACCTATAGTGCATGTTTTGTGTGTTTCTGGTGGATCCAGTGCAGGTACCAGCTGCAAGCGCCGAATCTTTTTCAGCCAATGACCTTAAGGCTTTGGCCCGCGTGCCGATTGGTCGCGCCGGCTTGGTCGCGGATCGAGGCGAAACCACGAGCGCACCCCGCATGGATTAGATGGGCTAGTGGAGTTCAGCACCTTGCCCTAAGAATCCAGTTTTTTGAGGGTCCAGACCCCGGCTATGGAGGGTCCGACCCCTGCCATGGAGGGCCCAGGGTTAGTCCTTCCAGGCGCTGGACCATTCCCTCCGATGTGTCGGTCCCACCGATGGGTCCCACCGATCGGCCCTTCGGGCGTGAAACTTCCGACCTCGTGAGCTCGCTCGATCCATTTCACAGTGTTGTTGGACTGGCAAACGCCTTGTGCGTTGATTGAGAGAACTGGACAGGGTGATCCAACGGTGAGGATAATGGGCAAGATTATAAGCCTTGGCAAGTACCTCCCTGAAAAAACTTAAGCATCAATACGTGGTACCATCTTCCTCTACCAACCGTGGTTTGGGGCAATATTGCATGGTATTTCCACCTTCAAACCTTATTGCGGCTCGGGGGGACACTCCTACAGTCCTACAGTACTAGAGATCCAACAGGACAAAAAAATTGGTTTCACCTTGACGTTTTCCACCCAAGAAGGACTCCAGTCGTACCTTTTGAGAAGGTCTTGGGGTGGGTTTGGGTACCAGGATCCAAATACCCTCTAAACCGGAGCTTCTTGAACATCCGCCATCCGCCAAGCCAGACATCCGCTCCGCGGCTCGGGGGTTCAGCCTTTGCCCCGACCCCTCCGCCCAGTCCATCGCCCAGCGGCTTTCCCGCGCTGCTCGGCATTAGGTCGATGAGTTGATGGGTCCAAGTGCGTTGCTGTTTTCGTAAAATGTGGTTCGAGCAAAATCATGTTCCAACAAAAAACAATCACCAACACACCTTAATTTGCCACGAGCATCACGCACTAAGTCACGTACTAAGTCCTTTTTGTTCACGTGGCTCGGCTCCCAAATCCATGGTTTGTTGGAAACATCCAGGCAGCCATTGGAAAGACCTGTTGTGCCGGCCACTGTATCGTTTGACATTGAAACCCAATTCGAATGGCTTGGAATAAAAAACAGTACATTTCAGAAGGGTCCCCTGAAAGAATGGGAATCAAACCAACCAGCATTGCTGAAAGAACCTGTTCTTGTTTAAAAAGAAGGATGGTTTGAACCATCAAACTCTATAGGTTGTTTGTTGATAAAACCTCACGGATGTCCACAGTATTGTGGTGTTTTCGTACGGGGTCTGTGGATGTCTGTCACTCTCGGTGTCCGATGTGCGATGGGTGGTTTTTGTGGACGGGGTGAACTGAGACGAAAGCACCTGGCTGTGATGAGTGGAAACTGTGATATTGATTTAAAAAAAAAGGTCGACAAATCTATGAAGAGGTGTGTTTGAATTCCATGTTTTGGAGGGGTGGTTTTGGTTCATCCAAGAGATCAAAAAAACTGTTTCCTGTTGGAACTCTGCGGTTCAAGTTGACGGTGTTCTGCGGAGTCGGAGATACGTATACTTACAGTCTGTTACAGTTGCTCGAGCCTGACCCCAACGTTTGGGTATATAGAACCAATGGCATCAGCCTTCACGGAACTTGCCTTCCAAACATAGCACATCTAAATCGACCGACCATGAATGGTTAGTGGAACATCAACCGAAACCTAGACGTGGCGTAATGATTTCCCCACGAACCACGTTCTGCCCGCGGTAGGTTTGATACTAAGTAGGGCAGGCAGACCACGTGAGCCTTCTCATCGGTTGCCCGTTTAGAGTGCAGAGTGACTCTTTGGCTTTTGCTGCCTCCATGCGGATTTAGACTGTGGGTTAGTTAGCACACGTGGCGAATGGGATTGAATACAGGAGGAATCAGCTCTTGGCCCAGTTGAGGGGCGCAAGAACGAGATCAGGAAGATCAACAATAAAAACATATAAAAACAGCTTTCTGCGGGTCTCTATTTTCCAAAAGACATGCAGACAAAAGTCTCAGTGCGGCCACACCACACTCCGCCGCTCCTTCTTCACCTTGGCTCAAGCATTTGCGAAGAAAAGAACCTAGTTATGCTGCGTGATGCTCCTGAACTGGATCAATCCCCGTACCTTTTTGGAAGAGCCAAGCTTCCGCAAATCGAAATGGACCCAAGCCAACCTCGGTCAGCGAGCCAACCTCGATCGTCCACCTTCGAAATGGACGTGGCGGCCGGCGCCGGAGGCAGTGCTTTGCCGGTGTGCCAGGTGCCAGAGAGCTGTACGACCCTGAGACGGAACTTGGTGATGTGTTGAGATGTCTTTTTCCGAGGTCAACAAAATGAGGATTGCACATTGCAGATGACGTGGTTTCAATCCACATGTTTGGCCAATTTATATGCAGGAAATGGTTTGTTGGTTGAACAAATGTTTGCCTTAAACATAATATACGCGTGCAGGAAAATTTGCAGGATGTGTTTTGTTGGTTTGCCAGGATCAGAACAACATCCTGGTCTCTTCAGTGCAACGACTCACCCTCCGTTTCGCATCTGCGATCAGGGCGATGTTTGGTTGGATGCCTGGTCGTGTTGGGCAGGTTTCGCCTGCAAGAACGGTCAAAGGAGATCTGGCGGAGGAGTTTGCAAGCTCGAGGAGAAGAGAGGTGGGACCCAACGGCGCGGCTCAATCCGCAGGATTCTCCCTCTATCTCAAGAACATGCAAGTAGATAGTATGTCCCTGTGGAACTTTGGAACACGATTTCCTCTACAAGCACATCTACAGTATATGTCGCAGGGGGATGGGTTAAAGCACCCATCACTTGTTGGGTTGTTCAGCATGGTGTAACCTCCGACTTGGGGATGTTGGAAGGATAAAATCTTGCTGCAAGCGCCTTTGTTTGCTGCTGAGAGCTTTTTTGCTTTGCAGTTCACATAGCACTGTAGGAAGTCAGCTACCTGGGCAGGATACGTACCTATTTGGAAGAGGAAGCCACCAAACAAGGGTTCCGGCGATTCATCTCAAGGTCCAAAGGCGCTGTGGAAGGAACCGATGAATTGGTGCAGAAGCTGTGCGAAGCAGAGACTGAAAGACACCTGGATGTGACAGCAGGAGTTGTGGTTTCTTCCTGCGTGCCAAAAAGGGATTTGACACCTCAAACAATTCTGTGTGTGTTTTTTTGGGCAGGTGAAATTCTGACATGCTGGAGCTCCTGGAAACTACATGACATCATGGGGTTACCAGCCCATAATGGTTGAAGATACCAATGCTTGTTTCTTGTGGAAGTTAAAATAGACAGCTGTGATATGTTTGCATGGGAGAGCTCCCCATGGAGAAGGCGTGGCCCTCAGTTAGTAAAGTTGATGAGACTTGTTGGTTATCTAATGACAAGACACTCCATGGAACTGACATCATTGGGGTGGTTGAAAGGGGTCAATGCAAGCGTATATATAGTGTTGGGCAACGACCAGTCCAAGGAAATCTTGAGGCCTCTCTTGAATCCATGCTGCTACCGGAAGTGAGGCGCTCCAAGGCAATCCTTCAGCAGGTTTTGAGGAAATTGTCCGAGCAAAAACGAGCGAATCTGTTGTATGCTACTTTGAAGACCATCGAGGAAGATGGCGGCATAAAGTTAGAAGACTCCAACTGTACAGTTGGCATATCAACCTGCGCGAGGGCAAAAATGTGGCAGCAAGCCTTGAAGTTGTTGGAGGTCATGCCCGAGATGAAACTTCAACCCAATGTGATCAGCTACAATGCGACCATCAGTGCCTGTGAGAAGGGCGGGCAATGGCCACAAGCCTTGAAGTTGTTGGAGGCCATGCGCGAGATGAAAGTTCAGCCCAATGTGATCAGCTACAGTGCGGCCATCAGTGCCTGTGAGAAGGGCGGGCAATGGCCGCAGGCCTTGAAGTTGTTTGAGGCCATGCGCAAGGGGAAAGTTTCGCTCGACGTGATCAGCTACAATGCGACCATCAGTGCCTGTGAGAAGGGCAGGCAATGGCCGCAAGCTTTGAAGTTGTTGGAGGCCATGCCCGAGATGAAACTTTTGCCCAATGTGATCAGCTACAGTGCGGCCATCAGTGCTTGTGAGAAGGGCGGGCAATGGCCACAAGCCTTGAAGTTGTTGGAGGCCATGCGCGAAATGAAGGTTCAGCCCAATGTGATCAGCTACAGTGCAGCCATCAGTGCCTGTGAGAAGGAAGGGCAATGGCCACAAGCCTTGAAGTTGTTGGAGGTCATGCCCGAGATGAAACTTCAGCCCAATGTGATCAGCTACAATGCGACCATCAGTGCCTGTGAGAAGGGCGGGCAATGGCGGCAGGCCTTGATGTTGTTTGAGGCAATGCGCAAGGGGAAAGTTGCGCTCGACGTGATCAGCTGCAATGCGACCATCAGTTCCTGTGAGAAGGGCGGGCAATGGCCGCAAGCCTTGAAGTTGTTGGAGGCCATGCCCGAGATGAAACTTCAGCCCAATGTGATCAGCTACAGTGCGGCCATCAGTGCCTGTGAGAAGGGCGGGCAATGGCCACAAGCCTTGAAGTTGTTGGAGGCCATGCGCGAGATGAAAGTTCAGCCCAATGTGATCAGCTACGATGCGGCCATCAGTGCCTGTGAGAAGGGCGGGCAATGGCGGCAAGCCTTGAAGTTGTTTGAGGCCATGCGCAAGGGGAAAGTTTCGCTCGACGTGATCAGCTACAATGCGGCCATCAGTGCCTGTGAGAAGGGCGGGCATTTGCGGCAAGCCTTGAAGTTGTTGGAGGCCATGCGCGAGGCCATGCGCACTGCTGCAACCAGCTTCAATCGATAAGTTCGCTTGGCGACAGGCATGCCACCAGCCTATCAGATGAAGCAGCGACCTTCTCTTGGAAGATTAATATTCTTTGAGTTCCATCCAGCCATCGCAGAAGACCAGGCTACATGTGATTGAAGGTTTGAAGTTCCCCAAGGCATCTGACCACTTAGCCCATGATCCACGTGCCGCAAGACAGATACAAAAGTCACCTTTGACTCAGTGATCAATCCCTTCAGATGGCTATGGGTCAACTCCCTCAGTTGACCAGAGAAAATGAACAGAATAGACTACTGGGAGATCAACCTACCAGGGTGAAAGTGATCGTGGGAGTTTCAACCTCGCCCACCCCTTAGACTCTTGTGAGCGGTCAATGGTTTAGTCGTTGATGGCATGTTGATGGTCAACCTTGACCGGGGGATGAGTCATCATGGACCTTGTGAATATAATACTGTATATTTATACTGTATATTTAGAATATAGATGCATAGATATTCATCTTGACAGGACACCTCCAGAAGTCACAGTTTGCCATTCAGTAAAGAATCAGTTTGGCCGCCATCGAGGAATTCACTCCTGAGACGGATTCCTAACCCCAGAGGTTTCAGAAATCAGAGCCTTTGGGGAAGGGGCCATTTGCAAGAGCCTTGCGTCCAGACGAGTTCGGCGTCCAGACTCGTCAGGAAGCTTCGATGTCCACGATGTCCGTGGTGGTCGCGGCTGGTTTCGTCCACCTCCCTCACCGTTCACCATGGGTTGACACCTCCTTTTTTCAGTCGAGGAATCGGTTCTGTGGCGAGTGGCGAGGAGTCAGTGGGTCGGGTGTGGTGCCACCACCCACAGTCTGAATTCATTGTTGCACCAAAGATAAACTCTCTGACATCATCATGGTTACGTGGATGGCATGTTGAGGTCCTTTGATTTGAACCGGCTTTGCAAAGAAACTCGAACTGCATGCAACATTGGAGTAACGTAGGACACGCTGTTTTGTTGGTGAAGAATATCCCTGACATGTCAAGGACTTTGTTTTGTTCTTGTCGACTCCTACATCAAGTGCAAGTGAAGGGGCAAGCTTTACCCTAGAAGTCCAGAGACTATTCTTGGGACCACCGAAGTCAAGGCAATTCCTCTTTGGCTCACCTAAAGCTAGTTTTTAAGACTATATACTTGGACTCCCAAGGTTTATAGTATTTCTGACTGAACTTCCACAAGGTCACAAGGACTGCCCCGGATCCGGGGTACGTTATTCAGACAGACTGAAACCACCATCTTGCCCCAAGGGGTCGATGCCATGCTGCGCATCCAAACCCACGCAGGTGCGGAACAAATGTGACATGAACTCTATGGGGGATTGCTTGTCTGTGGCCAGACACGTGTTTCACGTTTCCCTCGCACAGGCCCCTTAGGATCTAACGAATGTACCACCACCTCGTCCCACCGGGTGATTCCATCCGAACCGACGCGAAGCGAGCATCGCGAGCGCTTACGAGCGAAGCTGTCGCGAAGCCGAGGCCAAGTCCACCAGCAACGGAGCCCGGATTCGGACCCAGCAACAGATGGACCGACAAGTTGCCTCCAACTTGAAGGAGTTTGGGAAGGTAAGTGGTGAGAATATCAAGTCTCCGTACTTTTGGGGTACTCCTTTGGGATGGAGAAGCGTGTGAGGCGCAGGTATGTTTCTTTTTGGTTCGCTCATCTTTGTTATAATCCTGTCCACCTATTAAGATTCACGGCCCCCCGCTATTAAAAAGAACCTTGGTCGCATTGTTATTTTTAATAGGGGGTCCCTGAAATCGGGGTTGTCCAAAATAGGGTCACCTGGGAAGAGCTTCAAAACCAAAAAGTCACCCAGGAAACATGTTATACACTAAAATCCTTTATTAGACTCGTATCAAAAATTCAACGAACCTCCAGATCGAACGGTCTTCCTTTTCCCCTACAAAAACCTTTATTGGTTGTTCTTGGAACCTAAAGAAAGACTTCACCAAAATTGGCCATGTTAGTAGTTCAGTAGCGGCTTTAAAGGGCGGTCATTTACAAACGAATATAAACCGTATTTAGGGGGTTCCGATGTGACTTGTTTTTTAATTGGAGTCCGTTTTTAAATAGGTACTCGGGATTAATGACGCTGAAGATCGAAAAGAAGTTTGGTTGCAGAGGTTCCCAAGGCCTGTTGAAAAAGGGCCGGAGGCCATTCAGGAGCTTTTCCAAGGTTGAGGAGGTCAAAGAGCCCATGTGACAGGAACTGCTGGTTAATGAGAAGAATATATTGGACTCAAAATGTTGGGGCGATTCTTTCAGGGAAGGTACTTATTTTTGGACTTGGACATCGGAACAGAGGATCAGACCATCATTGGACAGGGGTACAACACGGTGTTGGACATTGAAGCGGCCAGTGGGACGACTCCGGCCTCCACCCCAGTAGCGATGGCCTCCAACCTACCAGCGATGGCCTTCACATGCCTTTACCCTAGCAGCGATGGCCTCCAACCTAACTGATCCTAACTGTTTTGATTTGGAATGGACGGAATGGACCTTTGATTGTCATGGTCTTGGTGTTCAAAGATTCTCCACCTCGTCATGGGCTTGGAAGACACGGTCGAGTCAGACCACAGGGCCTTTCAGTCCGGCGGCCGCGTGCCGGCCACGGCTCAGGCCGTGTTTCATGGTCGATGAGGTGGGGGGGCCGAGAAGGCAAGTCATGTGGGTCGATGAAGTGGACACTCTGACGATGGCGTGGGGCTTGACCCGTGTGTGGAAGACGAGTTATAGACATATTTATTGTTCCATGTTTTTTCTCTTATGAGAGTGAAGAATGACACGAGCATGGACCAATTTACGGAATACGGACTTATTCTCACTTTCATTGTTTTCTCCACTTGTTAGTGAGTTGGATGTTAGTGGGTAGATCAGCCAAGGGCTTCATCCAGTCTCTAAGGGAGCTGGATTGCAGGGTAAATACGGCTTGACCGACGGGAGAAGAAGTCTAGGTGTTTCGTCGCATGTTTTGCTACCTGAGTTGTTTGCCTTTGAGGTGCAGCTAAACGGGAGTCGAACTTGGTCGAGCGGAGTCCGGGAGGCAGAAGACATTGTATCCCTCTGAAGACTTAATTTCCAAAGAGAGCTTGTCCATTGATCGAGAACTCAGCAGGAGGCCTTGGGAATCAGGAAAGATGCTGCAACCTAATTAACCATGGCTTGTTCTTTTGTTAGGTTTTAGATTTCTACCCATTGCTCATTATGTAGCACTGGTGCACCCCTTTTGGGTAGAATACCTGGAGCCTCCTTGTGGAAGATCTGAGGGATTGCGATGCCGCATTGCTGCATGGTCATTCGTCCATGAAGCTGTCGCCATTGACGCGCCACGCAGGCCCGTGACCCTTGGGCAAGCGACGTCCTATCGTTGGGGGTCATGGCATAGGACGCAGATGGAGACGTCTGTGACATGTGGTACAGTTAAAGACTATGAGTCCTTCGATAGGCCTCCAAGACCCAAGTTGACATCCCAGGATCAGAGGATTTGTTTGTTGAGTAAGGGACATCCTGAAGTAGGACCCCAAATGGTCGATAGCTCACCGGAAAACCTGGTCATTCCTTCAGAAACTCCGAGGGGAACTGAGTCAGGTGAGGTGTTGTTGTTCTTGTTTGTGCTGGTTACATAAGCGGGTTTCAGGAGTTGTTCGGTACCAAGTCCACATGTGTTTCAGTCGCTTGACAGAAACTGGCAGCAAAGAACTGCCAGCCTCCTGCCTCAACGGATTGGCCTGGTATGTGTGACCATCATGGTGGGTTTCAGAAGTTCAGCAAACCCTGTAGCAATGCTCAGATCAAGCGAGCCCGCACTGGTTGGGGCAACTGCAGTGGCTGTGTAAGACTTTCTGACATCTTTTGACCTGTCACTATGGCTGCTTTTGCGATGTCATGACCCTGCCGGAATTTCTCAGAGTCCTAAACGGATGGCTGCGATTGGGATAGATCAGTTGGGAGGTGCTGGTGCCAAGAAAGCTGGTAGAAGTTTGAGGATGTTGATGGCCAGGCAGACAGTAGAAGTACTCGTGCACGCATATTATTTTCTCAGTGTTCGTGACCGTGGGTGTCTTAACTGCTTGAAGGCAGGGACATGCAGCAATATAACGTTTTCCCCGAGTGGTTGAAGCCGAACAACTAGTATAAATCTAATCAAACATGTTAAGGCTTGAATCGGGTGGTCTGCTTGAATCGAGTTACACCCGGGAAGAGACCCACACGGAAGCTGAAGAGATGGACCTTCCGAAGACTTGGGCTCAAGTTTCCTCTACACCCCAGCGGTTTTCAGGTTTCATGTCAATCTTCTTGGAGGTAGAAGGTCTTGTTTTTCTTCCCTGCTTTGATAGATGGCCCAGAAAAGGTAGCACTTTTTGCTGAAGTAAGTATGACTTTGATGATTGGCTCGCTGAGCTTTGCAGTACTTTCAGATTTTGTTAGCATGAGATATTTGAGATTATGCATGAGCTATTGAAATTATCTCCTAAGAAATTGTCAGGCAGCCTCACAGCTAGCAGCTACATGTTGTGTTTTTCAACACCTCTGCAATTTCTCAAGATGCTCAAACTATGCCCAGTTCATCCAGAACCCACAAGATGTCTTTAGGTGTTCTCCCTTTGTGAAGACACATCATTTCCAAATCTGTATGTTCAGTTCCTTGATTCAACCTGCCAGCGGAAAGCACCTCCCCCTCCTACAACGGAACTTCCTCTTGCCCAACCACCACAAAACCTCACACGAGGCAACCAGGTCCAGCGTGGTGTTTTTCCCGACCACCGATATCCCGCACACGTACGTCTGAATTGTGATGCCTTCTGAAGGCTTTCAAGCAAAAGCGTCTACAACGGCTAACATCTACAAATTCACCTCATAACCACTAGAAATCACCAACAAAATCTCCTTGAACAGCACACATCACTACCGATATCTATAGATCATTAATGACCAATCATCACAAATCAGCACCGTGTCTCATCCCGACGCACGGACAAAAAAAGAAATCGGGGACAAACACATCACTTGTCGAATGACAAATCCTCAAAGCTTGCTACAAATCCTCAAAGTCAACATGATAGTCCCTCAACATGGACATCATGATGGTTCCATCATGTCTCAACGGAATCCTCAAAGTCTTTTCTCAAGTCGAACACGATGGAACGTTCCATTCATCCTGCTCAGCGTCTCCGCGTCCCCTCCGCGAAGCGGCGGGGAGACTACCGCGCGGATCGTGTCAACGGGGGCGCCGTGTGATCTTGGTGTTACCCTGTGTTACCCAGAGGTTGAACGGCTATATCCCAGACCATATGATACCATATGGTCTCAATGTACCAATATTTTCTAAGTATATATGTTCAAAATAGTTCTATTGTTATGAATGGAACCATATAGTTATAGGTGTTATCATGTGTTCCTATAGCGCATGTCATATGTACCACGGCAACGGTATCAGAAGGGCGGTCTCTCAACCTCCGTCAACCGGCGGCTTGTTTTTTGGTGAGGACGTTCCTAGTGAGTTGGCGTTCGGAAAAGAAAAACAAAGAGGATTGAAATGGATGGAAGGATCCAAGAGAAGGACCAGGATGAGAAGGACTTTCGGTGAGGATTGTTTCGGAAGGATGAACAACTGATTTGTTAAGCTACCAAACATCAGGCCCCATGATCCCGCGCCACACGCGCGAGTGCCGGTCCATGGGCTTCTTGGCCACGGGCCGATTCGGAATGCGCTGTGAAAACGACTCCATGTAGGCAGCATGTCCTGTTGGACCAAGTCTTTTCGAAGGTCCGAAAGACCGCCTGGGGGAAAAAACACAATTCTAGAAAACAAAAGAAATAAGCGTACAAAAAACAACTCTTGAAGCCATAGGATCAACATCTTCACTGACTCGGAGCAGGATACACGACCTCGTCCACACGACCTGTAGGCCGCATTCGAGAGGAGTCGAAGTCATCCGGAGAGCCGAATGTCGCGATCTGAATGTTGGGGTGTGTGTCGAGGTCAAGTGTTGAGGAAATTTGAACAGTCAGGGTTGCCAAGAAGTTGCAGCTTGGGACACAAATTCCGAACGTGCGCAAGTTATGGATCATGTCTTGTGGTTTGGCGCTTTTCTTTGGCCTCGTTTTGGGCTAAAGGGCAGACGGTGAACTGAAAAAATTGCTGGGCGCAATCTGAGTTTGCATCCTGCCTACATGGAGAGACAGGAATTTCAAGCGCCAAAGAGTTTACCACATCAGCCTCATCAGCCTGCCATGGCGGAGAAAAAAACTGTGCAGCACAGGAATCTGCAACACAGGACTTTCATGTCATTTAGCACTTCTTTGGACCATTTTGGACCTCTGGACGTTCATGTCATGTCGTCAGATACTTCGAAGACCAGTGAAGATCATTGGACTCCAACAGCCCTGATGTCATGCAATTATTTAGCAGCCTAGCACTTCCAATGGGTGTCCAATGGAGATCCCTAGGTAGTGTAGGGGCTTCCATTGGTGACCCCTTTGAAGGTGCCGGAGTTTTTTTGTTTGTCTTTTCTGCAGCGTTTCACCGTGCAATTCCGACCGATTGTCATGACCAGATGTGGAATTCCGAGGTGTTTCAAGCTGCTCAAAGAGAGAACGTCGGTCGTCCCAAAAGCGGCGCAGCGGCCGAACCCAAAAGCCCGCACCTTGGGCCCCAGCCAGTGACGATGACGAAGCTGGTTTTCCGTTCGGGTTGTTTCAGCCGTGCTTCATGGGTTGGTGCTTCATGGATCTTCAAAAGTTCTCCACCCGGTTGAGCTGACAAAGTCCGACTGGGTGACCCTCGCTGGTCGCTGAAGGTTCCGTATACTCCTTGACATTGGCACAGTGGAGGTAGCAAGAACAGCAAAGGTTTGTTGTGCAAATCCGATTTGAATGCAATTAGTTTGGTTGTTAGGGCTCCTGTGGGACGTCACCTAACTTGGTGAGAGTCCGGGTTATACCTCCCTTGGTTGGTTCACTAACATCTGGTATGGTAAGCAGAACATGTTCCAAGCCTCACTGGATTTTTTTCCTTGACATATGGGTTGCGACCTGGCGACCAGGGAGGGTTGTGGTTCTGCTTCAACTTGGCCACTTCGATCGAAAACCAGCTTCAGGTGGGTGTTGTTCCCAGACGCTCCATGGGACTGCCATAGGACTGCCGATCAAGCCAGGGGTGGTTGAAAGTGGGTCAATTGGGCGGCAGTCCTATGGCAGTCCCATGGAGTGTATGGGGTTTGCATTCATGGACCGGACGTTTCTGGTCCGCTCGGTCCGGAGGCGAACCCATTCCGATGGACCCTGAGAGTTGGTGAACCATTTGGTGCGCGGTTCAGCTGATGAACGCATTTTTTGTTGGGAGGTATACCAGTGAAAAGGCACAAACTGGGGAAAGTTTTATAGATATTGGAACTGATGAATTTTAAGGCCAATCTATCAGGGTTGACTCGAACTCGTTTTAAAGCTTTTTGGATTCACTTCAAGAGGGAAAGGAAAGGACCTCCAGGTGTTCTCGGCTGAGCCAATGCAGTGGATTTGCAGCGCCACCGTGGCCTCTGTGAAGGCCATGCGAAAAGCAGCAGCCCTGCACCGTGGCCTCCCTTTGCGACGCATGACCCCGGGTCAAGCAGGTGTTCAGCGGCATGCGGCGACAGCGCCTTGGTTGGATGCACGAATTGGACCGCTGGGTGCTGGGAGGTTTTAATGGTTGCTTTTGACTAGTTGGTTCAGTTTCTTGGTGTTGTTCCGGCGACCGGAAGCTCTTTTCATTGATCAGAACCATATAATATAATATTAGTATATGTATGGTTCACACTCATTCCTTGGAGGGCAGGGACCCTCTGAAGGAGCATCAAAGATAGAGTCAGATTCTCAGACTGTGTGTTATGAAGGTCAGGGTTCAGTTTTGCTTTCAGGGTGATCATGGAGGCTTGTTTCCAGTTGAGTTCCAACCAGTAGCAGACAACAATACTCGTCGCTATTTCAGTAGGGGCCGTTAACATTTTTTACCCTTGACCTTCATTCTCCGTTGGAAGCCTGGATAACTAGGTAGGACAACCCATGGCAAGCTGTGCATGTGTTCTTCTCTTGCTCTATTTGCTTCCTCCGTTTCCATGATCCATAATCCATATCAACCCATATCCGCTTGCTCTATCCGTATCCGCGCCTATCCGAGGTGCCTATGTTTCTGAATGGCAAGAAGGTCCAGTCAGAGACCAACACCTTTTATGACGTGCACAACCCAGCGACCGGCGCCTTTGGCAACCAACAGTTCCGTTGGGATCACTTCGGCAGGAATCATTTGAGTGGATGAAGAGGAACATATTACAAACTGTGATCCTTGAAGTGTACAACTGCCATGATGTGAGGATGACGTGAATGCAACCAGGCACATCCAAGGTATCGATTCGAGCCAATACACGGTCTTTATGAGGTCTTTCTGGTGCTACCAGCCAGGAAGGAGCCTGATCATTTGCTTTAGACCGGTTCCGTTTGACCAGGAAACATCTGTTGGTCCGGCTGCGGCGCTTTGCTCGGGTACCGTGGCTCCTCGGGGCTCCTGGGGTAGCCGTGGCTCTCTCCAGGCGAGCTCATCGCGCGGACGCCGCAGTGTACGCCGGCGGAGCCGCTCGGCGACCATCGACAGTGGACGGACGAGGTGGAAGAGGAGAGTTTTCAACTGGAAGAGGAAGGTTCTTGGTGATTTTGCTGCCGAAGCAAGAAACTTAAGGGGTTTTGATGGTTTTGGTGCCCACTGATGGTTTGGGTGATGCACAGAAACAACCTTTTTGATCTACCCACCTACCAAGCGGGCGGCATGAGAACCACAGATGGTGAGCAAGTCATGGGATTTGAAACATCCTCATGGATTGAAATTTCATCAATAGTGGGATGAAAACTTCCTTGGAATCAATTGCCGCTATTAGGTTGGAGGCCAGTGCTTGTTGGAGGCCGTCGCAGTCATCTTGAGTCATGTTGTCACACGTGGAAGGGCGACTGGCCAACCAACGCGACGATATGCCTTGTATCCTGGTCAGACTGAGTCAGACTGGTATATCATAAACCAGGATCAAGACGTTCCTTGATGTCAGATCTTTGGATATTTGGGGTTGCTGGTGCAATCACCAGTGAGGTCATTTCTCAGTTTGTCGCTGTTGGTGGTTGAATTCGCACGGCGTGTCCACATGCATGACATTGGTGCACAGAGATGAACCAGCTCTTAGATGGACAGAGGTTCACCACCATGTCACATGTTTTCTCAACTAGAAGCTCCTACACTTCTTTCAAGCTCCCTGTTCGAAAACAACATTATATACACAATATATTTCACAATATTTCACACATAATCTGTCAAATCATATTCATTTGTCACCCAATACATGAAAGTTTGTTCGAATCATGTCCACTCCCGTTCCCCCGTCCTCGTCCGGCCACCCACCGCCACCCCACCCACCGCAACGAGGCTCTCCTCGGCGGCCGAAAGCTGTGCCGAAGCCTTCAAGACCTGGCGCACCACCCCGGTCTCCACGCGTGCGCGGGTGATGTGCGCCCAGCCTGTTGTCTCCAGAGCCTTTGTGATCGGTCTGAACCGGTGTGAACCGGTGATCTTGGAGGGTTGACCCGGAGGTGTGTGTGACCCAAATCTTAGGCCGGAACGGCCGGAAGCGGTGAAGTGTTTTTGGGGCTTTTGGCCAGATCTTCTGCGCCTTGGACATGAGCTATCATTCGCAGACGCGGTGGATTCCAGCTACCACCAAACAAGGGAACCAGGGACTCTAGTTTTGTTGTTTTTTGTTGATATTTGGTGGGGTTTTCCAAACACTTGTCAACATCAATGTCTCCTCCACGACCATCATGTGCTGTTGAGATTCCATCCGCAAGAGTGCCTCCGTGATCTTTCCAGAATATGTTTTCAAGACCTCCACGACGGTCTACATTCCCTCGTGATGCCTCAAAACATGCGGCAGGAGCACGAGGAGAAGTCAGTATATAATCAGACATCTGGCATGTTCCATCATGTTCCAAGACTTGAAAGTCATTCTAAATGCTAATCTCAAGGAGGCCACTACTGCGTGGCCCGCGTGCTGCTGTGTAACAAGGCCACTTCGAGCGCCGCCCGCGTCGCCAGGCACAAGTTGGAAGGTGCGATTCGAGACAACACCGATGCCTTAGCCAAAGTCCTCACACAGGCGCGGTATGAAAGGTCGGTCGGGCGAGTCGAACCTATAGCTGGGTGGGGTGTGGTCGAACGTCAGGTCGAAAGTCAGACACCTGCAGGCGATTTTTGACATGGATCCAGGGATTTCGTGGGTGATTGGCGGGTGATGGAAGACATGGTCGTCGCTTGTTCAGCGACAGGAGTCAATGTGGTTTTGCGTGAATTCACGTGCATGAAGACGGCGGGACAGACATGATGAAGTCGGGAATTGCGCAGGTTATGCATATATGAGGATATAAATATACATATTATATATATAACTATATATATATATATGAGGATTGAGGATTTTGTCATTTTTCAGGTTGAAAGCCACAAGCCAAGCCACACCCCACGCCCCACGCGGTGACCTGAGACTCGACCGTTCGTGACCGTCCGTGACCGTTCGTGGCCTGTAAAGGGTCACGTCTCCTACGGACTCGAGGTGCTTATCCTGGCAAGAGACCCCAAACAGTGTGTGTGAGGTCGAAACGAGGTGCTTAACTACACCGTAAGAAGAACCGCTAGGGTTTGTCCACACTGTTTGGGGAAAAAATAGAAGTCACTTTAAAGCTGGAAGAGAAGGGAATAGCCTAGTTCTTGTGTTGCCCTGGAAACTTCTCCGCACGGCCAAGTTAACTCCCGAAGCCCATGTCTTGTGCAACAAGCGATCATACTGCCGGAATGCTGCAGGTGCACTCCGTGCATGGCCTTGCCTCACCTGAACCAGAAGTTCGGGACAACTTAGGATCTGCAATGAAACAACCAAAGAACCAAACCACTCCTCCATGCAATCCGCCGAGCCCCGCCCCGGCCCTACCAGATGATAGACTCGCACAGACGTCATAAAGTATCGAAGTCAAGTTCCGAAATCCCGTGCAACGCCGGAAAAGTCTGAAACATGTTTGTATTGTGAATCGTGGTCAATTCACCGCCCCCGAGTGCTCCAGGAGCAGGGCAAGACCATTGCAGACGCCAAAGGCGACATCTTCCGAGGACTTGAAGTGGTCGCACTGCCCAGGGTATGATTTCTCAGCCATTGTGAAGTACTGCAGCTTCCGAGTTTATCATTTCTATTGACAAAATACCAGAGTTTGTGTATATGTTGTGTAATGTCTACAAACATTTTGTGTTGTTTTTGTGTGTTTGGAGCCCATAAGTTGCTCAGGGTTCAACCGTGAGCTCTCAGATCTGGGGAAAACTGAGGTCGAGATGTCCTGTAACATTCCGTCCATGATTCAAGGAGATGCTTGGCAGAAACTACTTCCTCATAGGAATATCGGACTCAGCTACTCGCAAGAGCTGTTCGCGTCAGCTACTCGCCTTTAGGAATCAGATGATCAGATTCGCCAGGCTAATACATCCAGGAAGAGCCATGCCTCGAAAGGATCATGCCCCAATCTAAACGATGGACGGCAGAGGATGGCAGAGGGCTCTGACTCGGATGGCAGACATTGGAAGGAAGCATCGGCTTTCCACCATTTCTATGGGGTTTCTATAAGCAGTTTAGCTGGCTCTCGGCAAAAGATGCGCCAGATTGGTTGTCGGATATGTTGTGGATATCTTGATCCAAAGAATGGTCTTCCAGGGCATGCTTGAGTCTGGTAAGATGAAAAACATATGCCATGGCTTCATATGGCTTCGCTTCGGCTGCACGACCATTGACATGGGTCCGTGGATTCTCCACTCTGACCGGTTCGTCGTTGTTCGTCGTTGGTCGATGATCGTGTCGGGTGGATCGAGTCATCCGATCGATGACGAAACGACTTCACTCGGTGGTCGAGAGTCCCGGTACCTCCCCGTACCTCACCCTCATCATCCCCTATCCCAAACGCTCCATGTATGCCATATATGGCTACATTGACCCCCCAAACCACCCCAATGTAGGCATATATGGCATACATGGAGAGTCTGGGTATGTATATTAGTCCCTATACTTGAAGCCACAGACCACGGAGCCCCCCGGGGGGCCCAACCACTTGTCCCGGAGCTCCGTGACAGACGCAGACGCAGCCCAAGGAGACCTTGCCCAACGTGGCCAACGGTGTGGATGTGCATTCCTATCGACGCTGTGGCCTGAAGAGTGCAGGCCAAACAAGACAAAAAAAGGGAACACAACAAATAGATTGCTTTTCTTATTGTGTTTTATTTTTGTTGTGTTATTCATGTTCTTATTGGGTTCTATGATGTTCTATGTGTTGTTTTTTGTTTAATCTATGTTCTTACTGTGTTTTGAATTTCCATCGGCATTCGGCCTGAAGAGTGCCGCCCAGCGTCGAAGTGTGAGTGCTAATGTGAAGCGTGGTGAAGCCAGCCTGCGAAGCGTGCGTAGCGGAACCTTGGACGCGGTGACATCTGTCTTTTCCGAAGTGGAGCGGTGTGTTTCTGGGTCTTGGGATGTCTTGGAAAAGCTTGGACAGGTGGACTCCTATTCAGGAAACGACTTGTCTTTGGCTCAGTCCAGCTTTTTTGGTTGGTGTTCAATGGTTTTAGGACATAACTCGCATGCGGCTGTATTTGCTCTCTGTGAGTTGCAGGTTTTTTTTTTCTCATTTCGATTGGCTCTCGGACAGTGCCGTCCAGCTCTCGCGCCCCCGGTGGAGAGAAAGAAGTGGAGAAGAATTTTCAAGTTCACTCCCTGGAAGAATGGTCCCTAGGGCTCCTGGCCCACCTTCTGAGAAGATGGTTGGGGTGGGTGCCAGGGGGGTCTAACCACCTTCTATATCGGATATAGTGAAGTCGCCCTAGGGCATGGAAGTGGAGTCCACCACCTGTTTGGTATTCACATTTCATGGTCTTCCCAGGATGTTCGTTTGCACTTCCATCATCTTGGATCAGACCGGATCCAGCAACGGGATGTTGTTGACAGGAGCGGGCAGGTATAGAGATAGGTCGAGATAGGTCTAGGTGGTTCAGAACATACAAGAAGTTAACCCGAGAACTGGAAACAAGACACGCTGTTTATGAGGTAAACATGTTTTTTTTCTTTCTTCACCTCATGAACTCTCTTGTATCCAGTCCTAGTTCCCTGCCTTCATACAGCCAATTCCTCGGTCGAAGCGCTTGAAAACCCAGGGATCCCCCTGGGCGTTTGCGCGGGCATTGCGCCCTTCAACTTCCCAGCGATGATCCCGCGACTGAGATGTGCAAAATTGTGCAAGGGTGGGTGGTCAATGGGTGTGCTCAAACCTCCCAGGCAACGACAACCACTGGCTTTGGTTCGAGAGTACTAGGCATGACCAGTCTACCCAGCCTACCTGCACTGTACAGAGCTACATGTAGGAGCCATACTGCTCACTTCCAACTTTTCACAATCTTCGCTCCTCACTAAACTTCACCCATGGCACCGGTGTAAGAACTCGAAAAAAGAAAGAGTTCCACGAAACTTTGACTTTGGCTCAAGCTGGACAGACTGTACGAACAGTGTGAAAAGAATTGACGCAAGAGCAGACTTGATGTGAACTTCTTGTGTTTTGAGTCGGTGTTCGAAGACAGTCTTTTGGAACCAGTCATGGGGAAACAGGGGATCAAGGCAGCTTTGTCGTTTAGAGAGCCCAGCACGCGAGTGCAAAGACGAACTGGGCGACAACGACTCGGGGGTCTGGGTCGTTGGTGAGACGCAAGACTTATGCGAGCAGAGAGTGCGGTTAGGCAGATATGCCAAAGTCTTCGTTGGGAGGTACTATGGAACAAGATAGAAGGCCGTGCAGGGTAGGTAGTATTACATAATTTTGGGGGGATCTTGGGAGTCTGCCCCCTCTCCAGGCAGCTTCGCTTACTTACCTTGCGCCGAAGGAGGTTCCTCTTGCTCACCATGTCTTAGAACCATGTGCACATCAACTATCAGTGGAGGCCTCGAACTGTGGGGCAAATATTTTTATCCATGCGACTAGACCAGTTTCCTGAATGTACAGTGCTGAACAGTATGGCTGCACCCTGCAAGTACCCAAAATTGATAGGGCCATTGGACAGGGTCATGTTACATTTTCCAGTGTACTTAGAAGACAATATAAATCTACAAAATTGAACATATTTTAACGGAATATAACTTCGAAAGCACAGCAATTTCTGATGCATTGGCATGCTTGTCCAACTTACAACTTATATATATATTTTTTTTTGAGGTGACATATAACACATAATATGTGTGTTTTTCTTTAGCTATCCTGGGGGTCTGATTGATCTCGTTTCGGATCTCGATCTCGATTCCCACCAAGGCTTTGGATGTTCCCACCGGCCACGACCACAGGGAACACCTTTTTGATGAAGCCTTCGGAGCGAGTGCCGCTCTCGGCCACTTGGGGCAACAGGACTCGGGCGTTCAACAGGAAAGAGATGGAGCTTGGTGGTCGTAGTTGTTTGTTGCTGTTCGGAATTAGTTGTCTTTAAGGGATTTTGCAGATTTTTGTGTGTTTATTGAAACCACATCTTCTGGGACATCACGAAAGGTAGCCCTTTAGGGGATACCTTGAGTTTGTCTTGCGAAGCAAGTGTTGGGACGTCCGGGTCTAATAATTGATCGCTCAATTCAGACCCCCCCCCCCTCCCCCCCTCTAAAATCAATTCTCTCCTGGAGAACGTCTTCGTGAGCCTCTCATGATTTCAGGATAGTTGAAACCCTCTTGAACATTTTAGAAAGAGTGAATATGAAATTCTAATCACGAAAGGTGTTCCCCGAGGGGATACATACCTAGAGTTTGTTTTGTGAAGCACGTCAATTCTCTCCTGGGGAGCGTCTTCGTGAGCCTCTTATGGTTTCAGGACAAATCCTATGATGTTCCGATTCAATGCTCACCGATGATCTGAGCCATGGGGCAAGTTTGTTTTCCTAAGAACCTTTTTGAACATTTCGAGAGCATATGTTTGAACATTTAGAGTGCATATGAACATATATTTACGAAAGGTCGCCTCCGAGGGGATAAATCACCATGTCGAACATTGCATTTTTGTTCCTGCCTCTCGCGTTCTCTTCTCTTCCCGCTGTCCTACCTTTCGTGTCTCCCTCCTCTCAAGTAAGAGACATCGTTTGTGTCCCTTCACAATCTATCATTCGGGCCGTTTGGCTTTCCATGAGCAGATTATGTTGTTGGGGGTGTTGTTTCCTCCCAGGAACCACAATCGTCTGGGGCTCACGGACACCCCGGCTCGCCATCCCAAGGGGCGTTTTGAAACACAACCGTTTTTCAGACACGTCCCATGGCAGTTCGGTCCAGACGTTCGCAGTTTCCGGTTGGGGTGTTTGTTTCGTTTCGCCGTGTTTGGTACGGACCACCCCTCACAGCCCTGACCTGCTCTGCCACCCCGACCCGTAGGGATTCCCAAGGCCATGATGTTGGCGGAGATGGCCAGCGACTGTGGTTTGCCCCCGGGCGTGCTCAACGTGGTGCACGGCGGGCACGACACCGTGAATTTCTTGTGCGATAATGAGTCTGGGATACAATGCCCAATTCGACACGACGAGTGACTAGTGGGACTGGTATGTATGCCGATCAGTTAGGGTGGTTGACCTTGGGGGGTCAATGTGGGCATATGTACCAGTCCCATGGAGTGTTTGGGATTTAGACGCGGGGATTGAACCACTAGACCATACCGGCCTTCTGGTCGTTTTGGTTTTGTCAGGTCTGCAAACCTGGAACAGACCCCCCCAAATTGTGTTCATGCATGTGTTATTTTTGCAGGTTCCTGATGGTTCTTGACCACGAAGTGGGGTAGCTTCATGAAAGTGTTGTGATGGACTGGGTGGATGAGCTTCCCCTAAAGAGCCTGCATGCAGCAAAGTCTGATGGTGGAAACTTGAGGTGCAGGATTTCGACAGTGTGTGCATTTTGCTATAATGGCTCAAAATATCAGAGCCAAGGAATTCACGGGGATCGCCTAGTTTGCCCCTTCTTTTAGCAGTGGGTTGGGAGGGGTAAAAAAAAATAGTGCCGTACTATAGCCAGATGTGCATTTCCAGCGAATTCACCAACCCACCTGCAAATTTCCCCCCCGCGACCAGGAGCACATTCGAGCTGTCTCTTTTGTGGGTGGCAATGCTGCCGGCAAGCACATCTATGAGCGTGCAGGAGTGTTTCCCGGCCGCCTTTGGGTGGTCAACGGCTAGTGTCAGCATGTCATCATCAAGGAACTTCAGGAAAACCACATGGCTGCGGGTCAAAACCGCGGAACCCTGGTTGACCACGGAAAGTGAACAGAATGGGCCACTAAGGGGGGCAGCCTGTCAGGGTTTATGGCTCCGGGTTTTGACCGCCACAGCCACATTATCACAGGCTGCTGTGCAGTGACTGGCAGCCCGGGCAGTCATCCAAGTTCCCCTGGAAGTTAGGCTACTAATGCATGTAGACTCGTCATGAATTAAACAAGCAGACAGCAGACATAGATTGTAAGACATGTTTATGCGCGGGGTTGACATGCTGTATATGCAAGAGTCTACACGGGATAGTGGAAGCTCCAACAGGTGCATTGAGAGCTTTAACACGTGTTTTGGAACCTTGTGTTGTTCATGTCCGTAGATTAGTCAAGATGGCCTTGAATTCTTTTGTATCTTGAGACTTCCAGCCAGGCAGAATGAACATGCCGCCTCAGAAAGAGTGGAAAAGGAGGATCTGAGGTGCCAAGCATAGTTGGCCAAGGTCGGCTCAAACCTAACTCCTGAAACACCCTGAAGATGGTGTCGCCTCAAACTCCAAACCAACGGTTTGGTGTCAAGCAACCGATGTCCTAAGCCGTTGGCCGACTGGCAGGACGCAATGGTAAGCGTGCGCAATGCAATCTTGGGGCGAAGAACCATGCGATCGTGCCTTGGAAATAGCTCTTATTCTTGAAATGCCTTGGATAGAATGGTTTTGCAGATTTGGGGGTGTTTCTTCTGGTGCGGAATCCTGTTCGGTGAATCCTCTTCTGGGGAAGACAATCGTATCTGGTGATTTTCTTCTGGGGACGACTCCAGCAGGTTGGAGCGTTTTCTTTTTCTCCTGGCGACAACTTCCGGTCCTTGGAGCTATTAGCCGGATTTGGGGCCCACCATTGATCTGTGCTGCCTCGATTTCCGAACAACAGCCTGCTGTTTGAGTGAGGATGTTACACAAAACAACATCAGATCAAACCGTTCTTTTAATATGCTCTTTGAAGGCTGTAGGGCCGTAGGGTCAAGGTTTGGTTGTAAGATTCCTCCGAAACGGGCAGACCCTTCTGGGTCTTCTCTTCTTGCTGTGTGCGTTTTGCCCTAAAGGGCCCCTCTGGCTGGGTCCTGTTTGAGTAACGACGTGGCAGATTCGCAGTGAACCATCATCATTGACCTGCTGGAAGGGTGAATTGCCGGACGTTTCTCACCTTCAATTTAGCGAAGCATGGCCTGACCCACGGCTTAAATATCTCAAATCAATGATAAACAATGGCAGTGTTGGTGATCGACAGACATTCTTCCGAACCGCACTCGCCGCTTCATCACGGAGACCGCGTGCACCGCACGGAGACTCTTTTGGGAGCTGGAACTGCTATAAAGCTGGCCAAGGGCACCACCATCCACCAATGGAACAAGCTCCACCACGGGACTCCCTCTGTGTGACCTGGAAACCACAGGCCCGTTTGTGACGCGAACCAGATCGAACAGTCACGAAGGGTCACGAACCAGGCACACATACTGTGATGCGTGCTATAGTCCCATCCCTGGGGATTCAAGTACCCAGAAGGTGATTGGAGGCACTGTTATGTAGGTTTGGAGGGTCCAGTCGTACCTTCTGAGGTTCGGTACGACTGGATCCCTAGGGCATACAGATATACACAAAGACTTGATACACGCACATTGTGGTGGCCACCCACTCGTCCATCCAGACATTGCTGCACCCACAAATATGTGCATGCAGTCAAGGATTTAGCATGGTTTCTATGGCACTTTACACATGTCTTGCATCATCAACTTATCAAAGAGTCTTCAACCAGGCCTATGTTGAGTCTATTGTGGCATGGTGTTCCTTTTGAAAAACCTTGACAACACCGGATTCTACACCCCAAGAGAATGGCGGACAGGACTTCATTTGGAGGGTTGGAACGCACTTCACACCCGGATCATCCACTTTCTTGTGGCATGAAGATAAATCCCTGGCCGTACACCTCAAGAAGTACACCTTCTTTAGATCCTAAACTGGCCACACTAAAAACCTTTATCTATATCCCTGGAAATCATCATGGTTCGGTGGAGTGAGTGAAAACCACCTGTTTTGGTCTCCAAACTCGGTGCAACCATCCATCCCCGTAACGGAGTGTAACATGACCAAACTGGCTTCCAAACACCCCCCAAAATGCCATCCTCCCGGCTCCCGGCAACCCATTCCCAACCAGAATTCCAATATGGCGGCCAGCGCGCGGCCAGCGCCATAGATCCTTTACACAACTAAATGGCGCTGGCGCCACTGGAAAGTCGTTCCAATTCAGAACTGTTTCGGGCAACTAGGGAGTTCCACCCGTTCCGTTCTTGTTTAACCCTAAACCCTAAACCCTGCACTGTTTGCGTTCGCTGCCGCGGAGGTGCTTCCCGACGCCGATCCCGAAAGCGTGGTCAACCAGCTCGTCGGTGCCTCCTGCGGCGCAGCAGGCGGAGCACCCACCGCGCCCGGCAGAAGGAAGGATGCCCAGGTGGTCTAACCCGGTGGGGTTTGGTGGCTTTGATGCGATGTTCCGAACGCTAGTGTTGATCCTTTAACACCCGCGCTTTACCACGATCAACAAAACGGGTGAAGAGAGGTTCTCATGCTTGGTGGGATTTGGTTTCAAGGACATGTGATTGGTGAAACCCCAGAATTCATGAGTTTTGGAATCTTTTTCAGTTCACATCGAATTACAGATGGAGACAGGGGTCACCTTACCGGACTCCTACACTTTTGAGTGCCACCAGTGAGAAGAGTTTGGCTAAAGGTGGAGTTGTCAGCCGACGAGTTCCACAGAAGACGAGTTGATCAATGTGTTTGCTTTCTTCTTCCCTCCAGCTCAGTGTTTGGGCATCCGAAGATTCAAAGGGCCAAGATGCCAATCATACCTTAATACCATGGAATTTGAAACACCCATGATTCCCCGGAAATCAATTCTAGGATTCTACTCAGCCCACATCCACCCAGGGCAAAGGTGCATGGCCATTAGCGTGGCCGTCTTCGTGGGTGCCTCGAAGGAGTCTCCCGGCGCAGTCACTGTGGCCGGGCCTCGGTTGGACGGATGTCAGCGATGAACGTCCGACACAAAATAACTTGTATCTTCATAGACCCGTGCCAAAAAGGCACTGTTTTGTTTTATCTTTTTTCAGAGAGAGCTTGGATCTAGAACAATCATGCAATCCTCACCGTCGTTGGCAGCCATCTCTCTCGTTTGGGGTTACAGTGCCTTGGTGTGCCAATTGTGATCGCTCCTGCATGGGACTGGGAGTCCTCCGGAGTACGGAGTACGGCTCAACGAAACCGTAAGCACTCGACGAAACACCATAAGTGTGGGTTGAGAAGTGCGCATGTGGAGATGTGGTCCATGAAGAATATAAATGATTTAACCTGAAGGTATCTGAATGTGATGTTTCATGACTCATGATTCAATATTATCAAACAATTGAATGCATGTTATCTTGTGGCTGTCTCTTGGGGCTCTGACATGAGAGGGCAGGATGCTCCTATGAGCAGGGGTGGAAAGGTAATCATGTTTGTTCCTATCAAATGAAGAAGCTCATCACTTCTGGGTCTCTTAACACTTCTTTTCATTTATTTGTTGAATGCACTTCACCTCTTTGGCTACAACCCCGGCCTCAAACATCCTCCTCCCAACGTCCCCCGCTGCCCAGGTGGATTCAGCGCATCGCTGCCTCGGCGGCCAAGCTCCGCGTGGGTCCCGGCGAGGCGTCGAGCACCGATGTGGGGCCCCTCATCTCACGCCAGGGGGGGCCCCCCGGGGCCCCGGCCCCCCCCCGGGGGGGGGGGGGGGGGGCGCGGGGGCGCGTGCGTGGGTGCGTGGGTGGTGGGTGTGACGGATGGGGAGGGTTTTGGCTGGGAAGAACTGGAAGAACGGGATGGTGGGTGATGTTGGTTGCAAAGAGAAGATAGACTAGAGCTGGGGGGGTGGGGCAGAGTTGCGGGACGCAGGTTTGCTTGAGTGATGTGGGACCGGGACCCAAGGTTTTGGAAAGATTTGGTTGGGGAGCTTTGTCTCAGGCAAGTGCAGTTGATCAAGAATTTTCTCAGTTTGAAGTTGTAGAGGACACAAAGGAGATCTGAGTGACGGGATGTCACTGTCAGTGTAGATGATGAACTTTCATGTTGAGAAAGATTCAGTCGAAACCTGCCATCTCTGCAGCCAGTGACCGTGAATCTGCTGGGCTTGGTGTGCCAACATGGATACAATCCCCATAGTATTCGGGCCTGAATTGTCCTCGTTTTGCGGATCGTGTGATTTGTTTTTCAATCTATGAGTGAATCACCTGAGGAAAATTCACCCTCCTCAAACAAACACAGTCACACAACCCCGCGGTTTGTAGAGAGAACATCCCGAACTTCCAAAACACCATCTCCCTTTTTGTCGCTTTGGGAAATGGATTCTTCGCCTTTTGACTGAACGACCCGCTTGCAGGCGAAGAAGAGAGTTGAGGATTTGCGCCTTGGGTGAAGAGGTGGATCGGCCGGGCGTGGTGCGTGGACGTGTCGACCGACATGTTTGGAGCTCCAACAAACATCGAATGAAATTCCATCCCAGCTGCAGAAAAAACGTTTAGATTCGTGATGTTTTTGTGGCGTGCCATAAGGCGTGAAGAGCCGGAATACCAAACAACCGTTGTTTTACTATAAAAGCAGGTCACTTTTTTTGTGGTCATTGACCTCTAGGGGGAAAAACACAACTAAAACCTGAAAGTGATTCTGAGTGAACCTCTATTTTGGACAAGATCAACCACCCAGGGTCTGACTTTGTCTCGAAACGGTCGACCGGTGAGCTAAAAGGAATCACCCCACTCTGTTTGATCTTGCAGTTTGATGTGGCGCCCAAACAAACTCCGCCAAACAGTCGTAACAGCCTGGTATAGGGTACCTTTTTGGCGGCAGCGGGAGGAGTGTAGTTTACCATGGGCCATAAAGGAGTGCAACACAAAGTCTATGACCGAAGGTTTCAACACTTTCAGCACTTGCTAGCTGCTAGCAATACCCACACAGTTCACCCACACTGACAAGAGAAAGACAAAAACAAACAATGAAAACAAGCAAAGAAACAAAACACAAGCAAAAAAGAAAGCAAGCAAAGAAGCAAAGAAACAAACAAACAAGCAACAACAACAACAACACCAATCACAACACCAACAGCACCAACAACACCAACGACAAGGACAGCAACAACCACAACAACAAGAACAATAACCACAATGACAGCTCCAAACAACAAACAACAAACACAACAACAAGAACCACAACCACAGCAACAACAACCACAACAACAACAGCCACAACAGCCACAACAACAACAACCACAGCAACAACAACCACAACAACAACAACAGCCACAACAACAACAGCAGCAACAACAACAACCTGTTCCCTAAACCCTGAACCCTAAAGCAAAGGATTTGTGGTCCAATGTGTTCTTCTACTTCCTCCGTGGCCGGCAAGCTCGCTTCCTCCCCAGGATTGACACCGGAGTCTCTGAGGGCGCCAAGCTGCTCTTAGATGGGCGCTCCGCCTCGGTCCCGGCTGCTGGGCGCTGTGAGCGGTGACGCGTGAAAGCGTGCCATCCAACGCCGGCACTCAATTGTTGAATTCATTTTTAGCGGAGTATGACTTCCAGGTGGAGTATTTCAGCCAAACACCGGAAGTTCCGAAAGAAAGGAGTCCATGGGTTCAGTTCGCGGCCGATTTCCGGACACCTCCTATTCGCCATCGATTCGCAAGCCCCTTCCAACACCGTCCACCGATGGACCGCAAGAGCTCAAAGAGCGGCCATGGATCCCTCTCTCTAACACCGAGGAGGCCAACAAGGAGGGCTACTTCGTGGGCCCCACGGTCTTCTCAGAGGTCAAGCGAGGGATGCAGATCTATGTGCCTTCGTCAAAAAGGGGCGATCTGGGCACCTGCTTTTTGGGGCTTGCGCTTATTGGGAGATGATGCTGGATGGGGTCTAAGAGGGTTTATTCGTCAACAAATCAGGTCGTTTCAAGTTTCCATTGTGCAAAGGAATGGAATGAGAATGAGCAGCTGGGACGTTTACCGGCCAACTCTGAAGGCTTTTCAGAATGTTTGAGGATGTTTTTTTGCACTGATAGATGGAATGACACTGAACATTATAGCTAAGGAGACAATCAGAATGGGACAACTATTTTTTTCCAGGTGGCAACATACTGTACTTTCAGTTTCCGTCTTTAAGTTATATAAGGTCATGGGATATACGCTGGAATCGTCATGGGCCAATGCGGATGGACAACGGCTGAATGACGATGTTCAATCTGAAGACCAAAGAGGTGGTATTCCAAAAAGTGTACCTCAATAGTAGGTGTTAATCAAAGTCTCCCAATTCGTCGGGTGTCTCCCTATCAACATATACACCCAACCGATTCCCGGTCACAGACCTCGCTTTGCTGGGGTTGGAAATACGAAAAACACTCAAGGAGGGGTAGTCTTTGGACCTCGTCTTACGCAGGGTCAGACTGGCACTGGGCGTTTTAGTATGCGACGTAGAAGATCCAGTTCCATTGCGCTCCATTGCGAAAGGATATGAGTCTATGGAGTCCTCCCGAGTCCTGCTTGTCAGATCAAGATGAGCAACATCTCGTCCTGTTGACAGTCAACTGGACATGTCACATGCATGAGACAGCCAGGGGGTTCTTTGGATGTCAGAGGTGGCGTTTGGAACATGTCTCTCTACTGGTGTTTCATATGAAATCAATTCACCAGAGTGGATTTTCGACATGGAACACCCTCGGACTCCGGATGGGCTCCGGCCGGCTCCGGTGTCCGGCTCCCGCGCTAGTCCGTCCGGTCCGCGTGGATCGACTGCCGATCGAGCCGGCGCCAGGAGAATGAGATTTTCGGACCGGTCTTGGCCTGTGTGGAGGTCGACACCTTTGAAGAAGCCATCCACTTCGTCAACGCGCCACTTGGCGCGGAACCGTTCGCGCGTCGGTTCAGGCGCGCGCACCCAGACGGAAGGACGAAACGGCTGGTCTTCTTCGAACAGAACACGGGTTGGATGCAAGTGATCGAGGTGCTGAAGCTCGAAGGACGTGAAGTGAGGTGAATTTGGAATGTGTCCACCGGTCTTGGTCAGCGAAGGGAGGTTTGTGTTCTACATTGTTTCACCCTCCCTGTGACTATACTTGTAAGATGGAAGTGAAAAAACATACTAGCCGGTTTGTGGAGGAAAATGGTCTTCCAAGCGGGGCATTTTCCGCTTCCGTGTTAGTTTCATCGTCGTTTTGGATCAGCCACCAGGTGAAACAATGGTGACATGCTCGGCCACGGGTGAGTTGATGAGGCAGGTCGTGACAAACAGTCACCGAAGGGGGTTCCATGTGTTTGCCAGTCACCAAGAGATTCTACCTAAGTTGGATCATCTTTGGCTGCTCAATAAGTTTCAATCTCGGAATCTATGGACACATGATGATTGTGTTTGTGTGTTGCATGCGGTTCAGACCATACTGTCGTCTCTTTGGAATCCACGTGCTTCTGCAAAGCCACCTGAACCAACAGCTGCGTGCCAACAGCGCCGTTTCATGCGACCGAGGAACCCCTATGGCAATGGCACCGCCATCTTCACGCGCAGCGGCGCAGCCGCGCGGAAGTTCACCGATGAGATCGAAGCGGGCCAGGCGCAGGGGGAGACCTCCTTCAGTCGGATCCCTTTATACAATACCCATACACTCCATGAATGCCATATATGCCTACATTGACCCCCAAACCACCCCAATGTGGCAAATGTACCATACATGGAGTCACATGGAGCGTCTGGGCAATATGACTGTGGGTTATTCTGTTCACGTTTTTTGTGAGAAAGACCAAGGTTCCCCGGTGCCACGACCAATCCTATTGTAAGGGCTTCGCCCGGGTGCCGCCGACCCCTTTTCAAGAGGAGTGTAGCATGTGTAACTGAAGGCGTTAGTGTCGTTCCGGTGGTTGCCCGTCTGCGGAAAGAAGATGGGTGTTCTAGCCTTAGGCGTGGCCTCGGACAGGCTATATAACTGTGGCCTGTGCTAAAGCCCACAAAGGTGGAGATGCCAATGCC